TGAGCTTATCAGCCAGGATGGGCTAGGTTATGGCGCAGTAACACAAACCCCATCATAGTGATTTAACATCAGGGGTTTATTTTCTACTTTCAGTATGTTTGTTGTGGGTTGTCAGGGAAGTTCTTCCTATTGCTCATTCAGGGTCTCAAGTTGAATGTTGCCAACTGCCAGGTCCAAGAGAAAAAATGCTCAGGAAAACCTCATGGGCAAGTAAATAGCCAGAAATGACCCTCATCACTTCCACTCACAACTCATTGGCCACAACTAGTTGACTGCCTGAACTAGACCACAAGGGGGCAGGGAAGTGCTGGGAGGGGAGAGACCTGGATTTTGGGGTAAACTGCTCTCTTGGTTGGAAGCTGGAGGACAACAGGATGAATGGGAGGAGGAGGAGGAGGAGGAGGAGGAGGAGGAGGAGGAGGAGAAGAAGGAGGAGAAGGAGGAGGAGGAGGAGCAGGAGGGGGAGGAGGAGGAAGAAGAGAAAAGAAATTCTTTTTTTGTGTCTGGTCCTATGCAAGGCAGTACAAATACAAAGTAGACCAAGTCATGACATTCCAGAAGCTCATAGTCCAGTGGGCATCTACTAGTAAACCTTATGCTGTTGTTAAATGCATCTTGTGAGTAGTTGCAGGGTGTGGTGGGAGGTTAAAAAATGGGTACAGTTAGTCCCCTGCTTACATTCTGACAGAAAAGCACTGTACATGGTGTCTGTTTATGAGTCTCTGGCACTAAATAATTAGTGAGGTGCTCAAATTTACACTCCTCTCACCAATGTGGGAATGTAATTACAAAAGCAGAGTGCATTTCCCGTCTGAAAGAACCACGTCTTCCTCACTGCAGCAGTTACAGCACTTGGCCCACATGGAAGACACTCGGGAAATGACTGTTGAATGATGGAGGGGTGAATAAATGCATGCAAGGATGAAGACAGCTTATTGTAGCAAGGACAAATTAAAATTTTAAGTTTTTATAATCTCCCAGAATCTACAGAAGATCTGGGGATGTAAAGTAGAGCATAGGGAATATATCAATAATATTGTAGCCCTAACTGGTATGGCTTAATGGATGGAGTGTCGGCCTGCAAACTGAAAGGTCCCAGGTTCGATTCCGGTCAAGGGCATGTAGCTTGATTGTGGGCACATCCCCAGTGGGTGGTGTGCAAGAGGCAGCAGATCGATGATTCTCTCTCATCGATGTTTCTAACTCTCTATCCCTCTCTCTTCCTCTCTGCAAAAAATCAATAAAATATTTTTTAAAAAATACTGAATGTAAACTACATTTGAGAAAAGAATAATAATAAAGAAGGCAACTCCTCCTGAAGGTGTCTGTGCTTGGATGATGGAGTGGAGAAGCATTTAGGAGCCGTTGATAGAGAATAAAAGGTCCTCTAGTTACTATCTAGGGCAGTGGTCAGCAAACTGCGGCTCGCCAGCCACATGCAGCTCTTTGGCCCCTTGAGTTTTTAGCAAAGGCCAGCTTAGGAATACCCTAATTAAGTTAATAACAATGTGCCTACCTATATAGTTTTAAAAATATGGCTCTCAAAAGAAATTCCAATCGTTGTACTGTTGATATTTGGCTCTGTTGACTAATGAGTTTGCTGACCACTGAGCTAGGAGATATCCCTATAAAGAGTCTAGTATAAAGGCAAAGGATAATCCAGGGAGACAGCTAGGAAGGTGGAAGGAAGAATTTATGACAAAAGCAGAGCATGGTGTGGAGACCTATGGAGAGATGTGGCAGCTGCTAGGGAACGGGTGTGAAAAATCTAAGATTTTTAGGAAGTCTATTCTGTGATTTGTCATGTAGCTCTCCCCCATACCTCCCCAGGAAAACGTAGTAAAAATAATGTGCCCTCCTGTGTCTTTGGAATGTGTGAGGCATCGCGCCCTGCTCAGCCTGGGCGTAGGGTGAGAGCAGGGACTGTGTTTTACAAGCCCCTTGTGTCTCGGAACTGAACTCTCTTGCTGAGTCGAGCTGGTATTTGGACGCGAATAAATTACTTGGGACCACAGCGGTGGGAGGGGCGAGGATGACCTACCCTGGCTCCGGGGCGGGTGGGTTGGGTAAGGAGGGATTCTGGGGTTCTGGGCCCGTTTGCTCAGTCCGGTGCCAGGCACCCAACAGGAGCTTGGGAAGTATTTGCAGACTGAGTGCACCAAACAGGGAAAACGAGGGGACGGATCATAGCAACCAGTGAGGCGGCAATTACTAGCCCCATGACAGCGAGGAAGAAACCGAGGCACCCAGCGACTCCCTCCACGTTCCCCCGCGGCCTGAGCGGAGCCGAAGCCCAGGGCCACCCTCCGGAGACTCCCGCGCTCCCCGCAGCACCATTCACCCCGGGTACCCCACCCGCCCCGCCCCCCAGCACTTCCGGATTCCGCCCCGCCCACCAGCGAGTACTTCCGGCCTCCAGCGCTGGGAGCCGCAGCCGGGAACCGGAGGTAAGTCTCAGCTGCGAGACGTGCGGAAGCAGTCCTTGGGCCGGGCCACGGCGGGCCCAGGCGGCAGCGGGCTCCTGTTTCTCGGGTTACCACCCAATAGTACGCCCCAATCATTTCCCTCGCAAAGTCCTGCTCCACCGGCCAAGGTGACGTCACTTCCGGGGCCTGTGCCAACAGCAGGCGACGGCCGGAAGTGGCTCTAGCCCCATCTGGCGGCGGGGAGGAGTCACGGCGGATGTTCTGGGAATCCACAGATTTGGCGCTGTAGTGCCTGGGAGTTTGAGTTGTCCTGATTAGAGTTGCTGGGTTTAGCACACATGTGTCAAACACAAGGCCCGCGGGCCAAATCCGTCCCGCCAGGCCTTGCAATGTGGCCCGCACCGCGCTGTCATCACTGCACTCCGCTGCGTTTCCATCACAATGACAGTTTATGACTGTTCAGTAAACCATTCGGCCCGAGATTTAGGCTGGATTTTAGATTTTGGCCCCTTCTCTGATTGAGTTCGATACCCCTAGTTTAGCAAATAAAAATACAGGAAGCCCGTTTAAAATTTGAATCTCAGATAAACAACAAATAATATTTCAGTTTAGGTATGTCCCAAATATTCTAGGGGATATCCCTATATTAAAGCAATTTCCTAATCACTATGCTGTACACCTGAAATTAATATAATTGTTTAAGAAAAAAAATCATTTGTGTGAAATTCAAATTTGACTGGACGTCCTGTATTTTCTCTGGCAACCTTCACCTTGAATGCCCTCCTGCCCTGGGCTCTGCTATCCAGTAGCAAGGCAGGGATCCTCTAGGCCTGTGTCCATTTGGGAAATAAGTACAAAGTTCACCCAGCTTTGGCTAGATGCTAAGATTCTTTTAACTCCAGGCCTAAAGGGGGTCAGCACCAGGAGCCCCCTGGAAAAAGCTGGGCCCATTTTCAGAGTCTGCATGGTGGTGCTCTCTGTTTCCTTTTTTTTTTTTTTTTTTTAATATATTTTATTGATTTCACACAGAGAGGAATTGAGAGGGATAGAGAGTTAGAAACGTCCATGAGAGAGAAACATCGACCATCTGCGTCTTGCACACCCCCTACCCGCAACCAAGGTACATGTGACTGGAATTGAACATGGGACCTTTCAGTCCACAGGCCAACATTCTATCCACTGAACCAAACCAGTTTCGGCTCTTTGTTTCCTTTTACAACTGGGGGGTGAACAGAGTTGGTCTCTTATAGGAAAGCGAAAAACCAGCAAGCTAAGTGGCGGAGTGCTAGATGTTGCCGGTTTTTTTGAGTGTGGGATAAATTGGTGCTGGGTGTCCAGATTTTGTGTGTTAATGGTGGACTGCTTCAGAGAGCCCAGGGACTTCAAGGGGGAAACATTAGTCTTAATCTTATCCCACTTCTCATTTTTTTAAAGGAAAAAAAAAAAAAAAATATATATATATATATATATATATATATATATATAAATATATATATAATCTTTATTGATTTCAAAGAGAAAGGGAGAGGGAAAGAGAGAAACATCAATGATGAGAGAGAATCATTGATTGGCTGCCTCCTGCAGATCTCTTACTGGGGATCCAGCCCGCAACCTAGGCATGTGCCGTAGACCAGAATTGAACCTGGGACCCTTCAGTCCACAGGCTGATGCTCTATCCGCTGAGCAAAACCAGCCTAGGGCTTCCACTTCTTATTTTGCAGATGAGGCCAGTGAGAGAAACAGCTCTCCCAGCCTCTCAAAACACCTCGCCCAGCCACTCAGGGAGAGCTGGAACCTGATTCCCAGCTGCCTTGCCCTGCTGTCCACACACTGCCGCAGTCAGCTGGCAGCCTTTATGGTGGGCATTTGTTAACGTAGATGCCTTTTTAGAGATAAACTCCTCTACAGCCTCCTGACCTTCACCTCAAGGCTTCTTTAGCCTTTTCCCTGCCCCGAGGGGAAAATGACTATTTGGGCTCCGCTGTGGGAGCCTGGCCTTTCCCTGCCGTAGCCATTTGGCTCTTGCCGCTGTGGGTGGCGTGACCCAAGACTTGTTTTGTTCTGTGGGAGCCAGAAGGCATGCTTTTATCAGGGGTGGGTCTGGCCAGCCATGTAGGTGGAAGGGCAACTTTTTCTGTCTGGCAGATTGGGTCCCCTGGTACATTGCCTCATGGGGTTTCGGGGTTTCTTAGAGGTTCCACCACGGGTGACACTTTGCTGCCACTTCTGATTTGAAACGGAACTTTGCTGTACTGGCCGTGAGTGCTGGGACTCCTCAGACTGTACCTGTGAGGACCCCGGCGAGCCTGCAGCCTCCCCACACACACCCATACGTTAACGAAACGGAGCAGGTGGGAGGTCACCGGGCTTGAGTCAGCGGTGGGACAGCCAGCAGCCTCCTGGCACCAGAAGTGGTGAAGAGGCGAGGAAGCGGTGCCAGAAAGGGGCGTTGCACCTGGGCCAGGGCTCAGAGTGAAGGGGTGGACAAGGGGGCGGGGCGGGAACCCGCTGATAGGAATTGCTCACCCTGCGAATGATTAACCCTCAGCCAAAGTGGGCGACCCAGGAGGAGGGCCAGCTAACAGGACCTTTGGACTCCAGGCAGAGCGGCCAGAGGACCGCCGTGCGGCCTGCGCAGAGGAGGACATGGCTGGGTGGCAGGCCTGGGCTCCGAGGGCTGGAGTGAGATCCATCAGCTGGGAGCCCCGGGACGTCTCCTGGGACTGGCAGATGGTCCATTCTTGCAGCAGCAGCAGCAGCAGCTGTGGGGTCCACTGCCCCTGAGCCCTCAGGGGCTCCCTTCTCTAACCTTGCAACTGCCTCATTCGTGTATTCTTCCCCTCCAGGCGGCTATGGGTGCCAGGCGGAGCTGAAAGCAGTGGGGCATGGCTGTAGCCCTGCAGGCCTTGCCCCGCTTGGCCCGAGCCCCATTACGCCCGCTCCTCCGGGGGGGCCCGGGGGCACGGCTGGCCAGCGGCATGGCGTTGGCAGAGCAGGCTCGGATGCTGTTTGAGAACACCGTCGGTGCCGTGCTGCCGGGCCCCATGATGCACCGGGCACTGTCCCTGGACCCCAGCAGCGGGCATCTGAAGGTGCGGGACCGGAGCTTTCAGCTGCGGCAAAACCTCTACCTGGTGGGCTTCGGCAAGGCCGTGCTGGGCATGGCCGCTGCCGCCGAGGAGCTGCTGGGCCAGCATCTGGTGCAGGGAGTGATCAGCGTTCCCAAGGGGATCCGTGCTGCCGTGGAGTGCAGCGGCAAGCAGTAAGGAGCATTGGGGGGCTGCTCCCCGCTCTCGGTCTGGAGGGGGAATCTGGCTGGATCAGGGCCTCCCTTCCTCACCAGCTTCCCTTTTCTACTGGGTCCAGCCTGGTGCCAGGATGGGTATCCGCAGGCATCCTTGTTCATGCCCCCCCTCACCTGTTCAGCTGGGAAACGACTGGGAGGAGAGGAGCCCGCCCCCTCTCTTACTCTGTTCTCTCTCCCCGAGGGAGATGCTGCTGAAGCCGCACAGCCGTGTCCAGGTGTTCGAGGGCGCGGAGGACAACCTGCCGGACCGGGACTCGCTGCGGGCCGCGTTGGCCATCCGGCAGCTGGCGGAAGGGCTGACAGCTGACGACCTGCTGCTCGTGCTCATCTCAGGTGTGGGTGCCAGATTGGCTGGGGAGAGATTGGAGGGGGGGGGGGGCGGGCAATATCAGGCCTTCAAGAAGCCATTGGTCTGAGCCCCCAGGGACACAAAGCAGGGAAGGCAGTGAGGAGCCTGGATGGCCGACTTCTAGACGGCCCTGGGCCAGTGGTCTGGCCTCCCTGAGCTGTGGGTCCTCCCCTAGACCAGTGGTGGGCAAACTGCGGCATGTGAGCCACATGTGGCTCTTTGGCCCCTTGAGTGTGGCTCTTCCACAAAATATTTATACCACAGCCTGGGCGAGTCTATTTTGAAGAAGAGGCGTTATAAGAAGTTTAAGTTTAAACAATGTGGCTCTCCGATGAAATTTCTGTCGTTGTCCTGTTGATATCTGGCTCTGTTGACTAATGCGTTTGCCAACCACTGGGTTAGACTGACCCGTTGGCAGATCGTGAGGGCACACAGGGAGCACCTACCTCAGAGTCTTGCAAGGAAAATGTCACTGCTGTTGTTGCCGTCTGTACCGGTGTCACCTGGGGCTAGAACCCAGGCCCTGCAGCCCCTGTGGGGCCTCTTGGTCCTCCATCCCCACCCCACCCCCCACCCCATATCTGCTGCCTATTTCAAAACCTTAAGGAATAGTTCTTCCAGTGCCTGCTGGGGGCCTGGGTACCCCAAGGAGGGCACAGCCTCAGGTGCCCAGGGTGTGGTGGCTGCACACATTCCCTGCACATCCATGTAGGGGCACCCTACCTCTACCTTCCAGTCCCATCCCTTCCCTAAGGTGTTCACTGCCCACCTGCATCCTTGCTGTCCCCTCTGTCTGAGGTCCTCAATGTCTCTGCAGGCGGGGGCTCAGCCCTGCTGCCCGCCCCCATCCCACCCGTCACACTGGAGGAGAAGCAGACACTCACCAAGCTGCTGGCGGCCCGCGGAGCCACAATCCAGGAGCTGAACACCATCCGGAAGGCCCTGTCCCAGCTCAAGGGCGGGGGGCTCGCCCAGGCTGCCTACCCCGCCCAGGTGTGTGAGCCCCGGGATAGTGGGACCAGGCCCACGGGTGCCCAGCAGCTGAAAGCCTGAAATATTGTAGCATACAGCTCGGCAGGGGCCTGGCATGGGGTTCACAGGGCCATCCGAGAGGGAGCTCAGAGGGCAAGGTTGAGTCCACATGGCCAGGTGTCCTGCAAACCCACTCGAGAGGGGTTGGAAACGGGCCGGGAAACGCAGCAGGCGGGGTAAAGTGTACGGACACACATGGGAAGTGGGGGAGGATTGGGGGGTGGGAAGGGGCAGTTTGCCCTCCTAGCTCCGGGGTGAGGACCAGGCAGGCGGGACTGAGCTTTGCCTCTTCCACCCCTTCCCAGGTGGTGAGCCTGATTCTGTCAGACGTGATAGGAGACCCCGTGGAGGTGATCGCCAGCGGCCCCACCGTGGCCAGCGTCCACAACGTGCAAGACTGCCTGCACATCCTTAACCGCTACGGCCTGCGCGCCGCCCTGCCGCGCTCCGTGAAGACCGTGCTGGCCCGGGCCGACTCGGACCCCCGCGGGCCGCACGCCTGCGGCCACGTCCACAACGTGATCATCGGCTCCAACGCGCTGGCGCTGGCCGAGGCCCGGCGGCAGGCCGAGGCGCAGGGATACCGGGCCGTGGTGCTGAGCGCGGCCATGCAGGGCGACGTGAAGAGCGTGGCCGCGTTCTACGGGCTGCTGGCCCGGGTGGCCGGCGCCCACCTCGCCGGGGTCTCCCCGGAGGAGGAGAAGCAGCTGCACGAGCAGGCAGCCGCGCTCCAGCTCCCGGACCTGCAGCTGGAGGAGGCCCTGCAGGCGGTGAAGGAGGCCGGGGGCCCCATCTGCCTGCTGGCCGGCGGGGAGCCCACGGTGCAGCTGCAGGGCTCGGGCAAGGGCGGCCGGAACCAGGAGCTGGCCCTGCGGGTGGCGGCGGAGCTGGGGCCGCGGCGGCCGCCGCCGGGGGCTGTGGATGTGCTGTTTCTGAGCGGCGGCACCGACGGCAGGGACGGGCCCACCGAGGCCGCCGGCGCCTGGGTCACGCCGGAGCTCGCCGTCCAGGCCGCCGCGGAGGGCCTGGATGTGGCCACCTTCCTGGCCCGCAACGACTCGCACACCTTCTTCCACCGCCTGCAGGGCGGGGCCCACCTGCTGTACACGGGGCTGACGGGCACCAACGTGATGGACGTCCACTTCCTGTTCCTGCGGCCGCGGGGGTGACACAGGCCGTGGTCTGGGGTGCAGAGAAGGCCTACCGGGCAGCTTCTGGGGCAGAGCAGGGTCGGTCCCCAGGGCCTCCCCAGGCCTCAGGGCTCCTCCACGCCTTGGCCCCGGCTGCGCGGCTGGCCTTAACACATCTCACCCAGGGCCTCTGCTTCACATCTGTTCCCCCAACCAGAGTGGTACGATGGCGGCTCTCTCCCGCCCCTAATTTCAGTCGCGGCAGCAGCACCCCCGAGGCCAGTTCGCTGTTCCCGGCATTCCCCAAGCAGCCCCACTGCTGAGCTCCCGAGCCTGTTTCTCTGTGGGGCGGAACAAGAAGGACTGGAAATAAAAAGGACCTCTCACTCTGCGGGGTCTCAGTGCATCTTCCCTCAGAGCAAGGGCTCACAGGGGCGGCTGGGGAGGGAGTGGGTCCGGCTGCAGCCACCCAACCAGGACCTGGTGGGAGCTCCCCACACAACACACTGGGCACTTGTTTCACCAACAGGAGCCTGGGAGGGTTGAGCCTGGCTCCCAGCATGCTCCACGAGGGTGAGCAGAGACCCCAAGGAGATAGGCCTAAGGACCACCAGCTGTGGGGCCCGGGAGGGACCGGCCACCCATCCAGCAGTGACTTCCCCCGTGGCATCCCTGCCGCGGTCTCCAGGCTCCGCCATACGCCGCACTGGGTGCTGCTCACTGCCTCCCTCCAGGCCCCCTTCCCGCTTTGGACAGCTTAGCCACAGAGCACCCCTTCTTTGGTTGAGCAGACCTCTCTCTGGGGGCTGCCCAGCCTCATAGGACACTGGCCCTGTTTCCTTGGGGCAGCCTTTCCCCGGGCTGAATACCCCGAGTTCCTTCAGCCACTCCTCTGGGGACTCAGTCCCATTCCTGGTCCCCGCCTTGGTATGGGGGTCAGCCTTGGGTGGTGGGTCAGAGCAGTGATGGGGTCCTTCAGTTCCCCTTCATCCGTGGGGAGGAAAGCAACAGGAGGGTCCCCTGGGCCAGGCCAGCCGCCTGCACTGAGGAAAGGTGGCTGCTGTCCCCGCTCTCCGCGGGCCCCTCGCTCCGTACCCGCGCCCTCCGCCGGCCGCCCCCGCCGTGCGCCACGGCTCCAATCCCTATATGAGTGAGCAGTAGAATCACATAGGAATAAAAAGCCATAGAGAACAGCGAGGCCTGGGCTGCTGCTGCTGGCCCCTCTGCCCCCCCGGCCACCGCCTTCTTCCCGAAGGTGTGAGGGGCTCTGGCCTGCCCTCCCCCGGGGAACAGCCTTCCTGCCCCACTTGAGCTCTGGACAGCCGAGCTTGCAGACGAATCGTGACTCGGGACGGCAGGCACATCTGGCAGGCTGGGGACTGAGAGGGAGGGGAGCAAGGAGAGCTGGGCGCTGGGCACGGAGGCTTGGGGAAGAGGAGAGTGTGCACCACTCCGATGCAGAGGCACCAGTTCCTCCTGTCCTGCACGGAGTCTCTGCGGATGGAGGGGTCACAGTCTCGGAGGGTGGTGTCCCCATGTGACAGTGCCTGGGAGCTGGCTCTCCTCTGCCAACCTCCACACGCACCCTGACCCTGCTTCACTCCGTGCTCTCGGGACCAGGAGTCTCAGCACTGGGTGTCCGGCTCCAGGCCCGAGCGGAAGAGGGCTGGCCTGCGGCGGAGGGCCTGTCTGCCACGTCCCCAATGTATTCGTGTTGGCATGCCGAGAGGGGGATGCATGTTTGTACTCAGAGAGCAAATGATATTTCAGCACAAGAGATGCTGCTGCGTGCCCATGCCTGTAGACACAGCTGCTGAGGGGCTGGGCGGCAGTGGGGCCTTGCCAGCGGCCCCCCAGGTGCCACCTTGGCCCCTGCCCTGTGTCTGTGGGGATCAAACCTCACCCACTAGATTTGGTACCCCAGAGATGAAAGAGCATATATTTGGCCTCAATCTAGATGAAAATATGAGATAAACCCTGTATGGTGGGTGTTCATAGGGCTTATCATTTGCTCCATAAATGTCAAGTTGCTCCCATCTCGTGGCTCTTGGCTTCTCTGTCTCTCCTGGTTCGGATTCCTTGCACCCACCGCCACCTCTAGCCCCGGACTCTTCCTGGCCCGGCGGGAGCTCCTGTGGAGTGCCTGGCACCCTCAGCTGCTCTCCCAGGCCCTCCCGTTCTCGGAAATGGCCACGGACCGATAGCAGCTGGACCGTGAGCTTGGGTAGCCCCTAGGTGTCGGCTCATCCAAATTCCTTTGCTTTTTAGTTGGAAAAACAGAACGGGAAGGCGGCGTATCTGGGGCCACACAGAAAGTCCTGACACAGAACAGAATCAGAACCTGGGACCTAGTTGACCATGTTCTGCCCACCTTCTGGGGCTCAGAGACCCTGGGGTCCAGCGAGGGCTGGGCCAAATCCTGGGACCCACTCCTGCCTCCCTGCTGCCCCTCAAGGCCTTGGGGATGGTGACGTCTCCAGGGATCCATAAATCAGATTTATCAGACCCTTCTTGGCTCAGATTTCCCAGCTCCGTGGTGTGTGTGATTTGGTAGGAAGCCACGCGCACACACAGTTGGGTGGTGGGCTTTGATACAAAGGTGCGTGTCTGCATGTGAACGGCCCGGCCTGGGAGAGAGCCCTCATGTCCCAGAAAAGCAGGCAGGGCAGCCTGACCCCTCTGGGTCTGGATCACGTGAAGGATGTGATGAAGCCCAGACCAGGGCACACGTGTGTCTCGTTGAACCCATCACCAGCCACTGAGCTGGCCTCTGAGCTGCGCTCTGCTCCGTCCCAGGGTAGGGACACACAGCAGTTAGAATGTTGGGGATAAGGTTAAGCAAGATGGGCCAGGAGGCCTCAGAGGTTGGCACTTGCCGATTGGCAAAGGGCCTTGTGCGTCTGGCCGCGGGGTTGGACTTCACGTTGACGGGGGTAACAAGCCTCGGGAGGATGTTTGACAAGGCCTCATGCCAGGAGGCGTTTTAGGACTTTGCTACGGAGGCCTGCCTTGTGCGGGGCTGGGGAACGGGGCACGCAAGGAGGTGGAGGAGGTGTCGCAGGTGGGAAAGAGGTGCGTCTCCAGCTCAGGAACCTCTCCCCACCTCCCCTTCACCTGCCCCTCGGCAGCTTTGTCCCGGCAGCCTTCAGCCAGCCTGGGCAACCTCCCTGCCCTCCTAGAGTAACCGTGCCCCTCTGTCCCTGCCAGTGCCATTAGGGTCTTGAGGATCTAGAGAGGGCAGAGAGGCTGGGCACTTTGGTCAGCCTCGCTACCCTGTTCTCATGTAGGCACTCACCAGGGTGTCAGTCAGAAGTCCTAGGTCCTTATCCTGGCCTTCGTGTTCTCCTCTGACTGGGGACAGCATCCTTGTCCGGCTCGCCTCTCTGAGGAGGTGTCAGCAGCCGATGGGTCTGGGTAAGAAATCGGTGCCAGTTGGGGGCTCAGAGAGGGATGAAGAGAAGGCGCTGACCTCTTCCAAGGGAGAAGCTGGGGGCTGTCAGCTGAGGGAAACCACCTCTGTCCAGGCAGCGCCAGGCTTACAGCCAGCGAGGCCTGGGGCTATTGACTAAGACCATGCCCAGGATGACTGCCCTCCAGTCTTGGACTGGCTGCTCGCAGGGGCTGGTATTTGAGTCTTCAATGGCCGCTGGGGCACACAGGGCCCTGGGAGGTCACAGAGCCCTCGGCAGAGGGTCCGCTGGAACTAGAGTAAGCTGGCCCAGCCTGGGAGAGAGCCCTCGTGGCTCAGAAGAAGAGGCGGAGCAGCCTGAACCCTCTGGGTCTGGATCACGTGAAGGGCGCGATGAGGCCCAGACCAGGGTGGGGAGACCTCCCTTGGCCCCAGGGCGGAAATCTTCGGCTCAGCCCCTCCCTGGAAACCCCTGGGGCCGGTCCTGAGGCTTTGCTCCCCCACGTCCCCGTCCCCTGGCTCAGGCCGCCCTGGGGCCTCTGGAGGCTGCATGGGGTCGGCTAGGGATGGACCACCTGGGCTCTGGAGACTCTGATGCCATCTCTGCCTGGGAGGGGCAGCTGCTGCTCAGAGGAGGAGGCTCTGGCCAGGGAAGAGGATGAGGGAGAGGTAGGCCCCAGAACAGGTGTCCCCTTCGCCCAGTCCTAGGCAGACAAGCATCCGTAGCTCTACCTCATGGGATCTCTACCCACTACGGACTTGCCCACTGCTGGTCCCTGAGGGTTCAAGGAGCTGTAGGACCCAGCTCTGCCCTGGCCAGAGAGCCAGAGGCAACCCGCCCCCTGACACCCCAAGATGCACTCTACTGGAAGTTTCCCTGGCCCCCCACAGGGCTCTCGGCTCTCCTTGGCAGCCAGTGGAGCCATCCTGAGGGAAGGTGAGCCACGCACTCTGCGCTCACCTAGCCCCGCTGCTCCATCCCCAGCTTCGCTGAGACGGGGCGGGGCTGCTGGTAGTGGCCCATGCCTCTCCCTCCACTCCACCCCCCTGTCCCGGCTTCAGTCCCAGGACTTCCTCCTGGCAGTTCGGGGTCATCTCCGATGACCACACTTGTAGCTCACTCAGGATCAGGGCTCTGCTTCCACCTGCCCCCCAGCTCCCCACATTCCACCCTGCCCCGTTCAGCTCACCCCCCGGGAAGCTGACCTCCAGCGCATCTGGGCTCTGGCCTGAAACCTACTGCTTTGCAATCTGGGTAAAGCTGTCCTAGGAGCCCTGTCTGGGGACGCCGGTCAGAGACCCCCTAGGGGAGGGAGAAGGGCCCCTCCCCCCTGGGCTCTGTGGGACTGGCAGTCAGTGGCTTGGGGTGAAAGCAGCCAGCCTGTGGTGGGGGCAGATCTCTCCTCTGCCTACTCCCCCACCCCCCACCTGGGCAGTAGGAGCAACCCAGCAGCACACCCCTTGTCCTGCAGCCAAAACCCCAACTAGGGACAGGCACCTGTAGGGGTCCCAGGCTCCCTGACAGCACCATCACCCCCTGCGAGGACTCCATGCAAACCCTGAGGAGTGGCGGTTCCAGGAGCCCAGCCCCTGCCCACCCCGTTAGGTCCCCCGGAGGGTCCCCCTCAGCCCGGGACCACCCGCAGAAGCCAGCACTCTGGCAGGGACAGAGCCTGTTAGCTCCCAGCAGCTTTGTCCACCGCCAGCCCCCCACCCCAGGCAACCGGCTGCCCCTCTGCCCTCGGCTCCTCCTGACCACGGGGCACCTGCAGCTGGCACTCTAGGCTCCCACCACCCTGGACAGATGAAGGGAGTGGGGCTGCCCACTCTCCCCACCTGGCCGCCCGCCCCCCGGGGCTCCGCTGCCCGCCTGGGTCCCGGTCCCGGCTCACCCCGGCGGCGCTGTCTCCTCACCGGAGGACTGCGGTGTGGGGACTGTCCCGAGGAGCCGGTTCGCAGCTGAAACAAAGAGGTGGGGAAGA